TTTTTTTTATAAGAATTTAATGTTCAAGTTTCGACAAAATTTATCAAATTTAAAATTTAATAATAATTTTGTAGTTAAAAATTTATAAAATGTTCAAATTTTAAAGCTAAGGACTAAAAATGTAAACAAGGTTCCACGTAAATAGGTTACATATAAATTACTTTATTCGCAATAATATCATCAAATATACTTAGTAATATTATAGGCTGATTGACCGTTTTCGCTCAGAATCGTTCATCAAAAACCCGGTTTCCATCCCCTCTCCCCCAAATGTAATTAAGTAACAGAATTTTTAAAGCTCCAACATAAAATGTAGGATTTTTATGTAAAATTTAAAAATTGGCCAATTTAATATTTTAAATTCCTGAACATTGTCAAAATATGACATGAACTTCTTGCACCAACCACAGAATTAATGTAATAATAATATGATATCAATAGTATAAGAAATAATAGGAATGCTCAAGACCAGCGGTTCCCAACGTGGGAGTAATTACCCCCTAAGGGGTAAAAACACGATTTTTGGGGGGTAAAAGTTAAACTTGTATTTTAAGTACTTATTATCCATTTACTCATGTGTATTATGACTGTAAATGAAATTGTAATAATATAATATTGTTGTTAATAGTTTTGGGAAATACCTTATCTTATGTCCTAATGACACTGATAATTTTATTATCTTCAAATAATACTTAGAGTCTTAGAATATTACATTATATTGAATTTCCTGGAATTATTTTTGTTGTACAATTGTCTACACATTTTATATATTTTATATTTTATACATTTTAATTATTATCATAATATATATTTTGTTTTGTTTTTTTTTTTACTCAACTTTTTTTTTGGTTGGGGGTATATGTTAATATCTAACCTGACTTATGGGTAATAGTTTCAAAAAGGTTGGGAACCGCTGCTCAAGACGAACCGTGTTTTCGTCCTACATCGTGCTTGTGCATCGCCTTGTGCATGCGGCATTTATTTGCATTACATTAAATGTATACGCTGGACTATACGTCTATACCTTGTTTTTATTGTTGGTTACGTATATTATAAATTATATGTTGCCTCTCAAAAAAATAAGAGCAGTCTTATCATTGAGGATACTGTCTTCTTATTTCTTGTTCTATGATAATAATAACAATAATATTATATTATGATGTGTATTATAAGAGAACGCCACACCCGCATGTGTTGTCTCAAGCTTACAAATTTGTGTATAATAAATGTAAATTAAAAATGATTACAACTCACTTAAAAACAGAATTATCGTAAAAACACTTCCAACAAATCACAGATAATATTCTTCACACCAAGTTTCATAATAGATCGATTTCCTCTAATTTTTAAGCTAACGGCATAAAACCCGAATTTCTGAGCGTACATTTGGTATGTTACGCGTTTGTAAGACTGGGACAACGGTTGTCGGGTTGTGGCGTCCTTATAATGGTCGATACACGATTGTACATGAGCAAAGAGCGCGTTTCTGTCACGTTACCTAATTACTTATATTATTGGACTATTGTTAATCGTTTACAGTAATATCGTCTCCACACGATTATTGACGGCTGTGTTTGTGCTCGTGACGATGTCTCGTCAACAATGTCATTACAATATAATTATTTTGTGATTGGGTGTAGGTATGTTTTCATCTGCTCATTAGGCGACGGGCGCCTAAAACTTGGTTTGTCTAGACAAAAAAAACAATATTTATTAATCTTCTTATCAGCTGAGGCCAACGACTCGTTTCCCTTGTTATTGTGCTACTGCCAGTGGTTCTGATACTTATAAGCTCTGAAGGTCTTTACAATATGAAATATTTTACTGAATAAAGGATCAATGCATCATATTATTTTAGTTATAATCAAAATAGGCACAGGTTTGAGCATAATCATTGGCAAAAATTTTAAACCAAAAACAAATAACAATATACATATATTATAATATTATAATATTATTAACAAATAACAATTACGTGTATCATAATATAGGGTAATATTATAGTGATTATTTAATTTGTTTATAATTAAAATTACACATTCATTTTAATTAGTTGGTCGTATCATTTAAAGTTCAAACCGTTTTTGTTTAGTAAAATAGGTAAATAAAAGTTATTGTTTGATATTATGTTATTTATTTTTTAACCGAGAAATATTGACATTTCCTAAATTTATCCTTTTTTCTCGTAGCTTATGAAAACTAAAATACTTATTTTTATTTTATTTTTAAATAATTGACTACTACTTACACATTGGTTTGATTCATAGCAAATTGCAAAAAAACTGTGTTGTTCTACGCGATCACCAATTTCCAATGCAGTCGTCCGATTGCTTCATCCGGTTTCCAAGTAGGTCCTTTCCACTGAGAGAGAACGCCACACCTACATGTGTTGTCTCAGACTTACAAGTTACAAACTCGTGTATAATAAATATAAATTAAAAATGATCATAATTCACTTAAAAACAGAATTATCGTAAAGACACTTCCAACAAAACACAGATAATGTTCTTACCACCAAGTTTCATAATAGGTCGATTCACTCTAATTTTAAGCTAACAGCATAAAGCCCGAATTTCCGTGCATACATTTGGTATGTTACGCTTTTGTAAGACTGACGCAAAATGCGGTTATCGGGTTGTGGCGTCCTTATAATGGTTGATACACGATTGTTCATGGGCAAAGAGGGCTTTACCTAATTACCTATATTATTGGGCTTTTGTCGATTGTTTACAGTAATATCGTCTCCACACGATTATTGACGGCCTTGTTTGTGCTCTTGACGATGTCTCGTCGATAATGCCATTACAATATAATTATTATGTGATTGGATGTATTTATGTTTTCCTGTTTCTGCTCATTAGGCTAATGGGTCTTAGGCGACGGGCGCCTAAAACATTTTTTGTCTAGACAAAAAAAACAATAATATTAATAATATTAATCTTCTTATCAGCTGAGGCCAGCGACTCGTTTCCATTGTTATTGTTACTTGTTATTGTGCTACTGCCAGTGGTTCTGATAGTTATACGCTCTGAAAGTCTTTACAATATGAAATATTTTACTGGATAAAGCATCAATGTTGCATTGATGCTATATGCAGTATCATATTATTTTAGTTGTAAACAAAATAGGCACAGGTTTAAGCATAGGCATTGGCAAAAAATTTAAACCAATAACAATATATATTATAATATTATAATATTACTAGCTGATCCCGTGCACTTCGTTACCCGTTAAATGTACAAATTGTATATGACTCAAACTTTGTTCAGATGTATGATATTCTAGATTTATCTGAACTTTTCTGTTGCCCGGATTAAAAATTCTTATTCGCAGCAGTATATTATCAGGTAGGCAATTTACCTGCGTAGTTCGCGGACCCCGTGCTCGTGCTGTTTGTACATATGTGTATGATTTAACTCTAAAGTATGGAAGTCATACCAAGTTTGTCGTTTTTACTTAATTCTACCTTCGGTGGATTAATATAATCAATTAATACAAAATCCTAACCTGACCTAACCGTACTAATATCCGATGAATAAAAAAAAACCAAATTTAATCCTTTTTAAATTAGCCCATCTCCTTCTCAGAGGTCTAATCCACACCCACAACTATTCATTTATATACATATATATATTGACAAAAAATAATAATACAAATCAACAAACATTCCCGATTAACCAATAGCAACCAATATATAATACACTATTTTTATTTTAGTAATAATATTATTTTTATTTTTTTTCTGACCCTTATCACTTAGGTTTATAAAAAATTTATAGTATCCAATTCTCAGACCTACTGAGTATGCATATAAAATTTCATAAAAATCGGTCAAGCCGTTTTGAAGGAGTATGGTAACTAACATTGTGACACGAGAATTTTATATATTAGATAATATTATTAACAAATTACAATCACGTATATCATAATATAAGGTAATATTATAATGATTATTTAATTTGTTTATAATTAAAATTAATGTGAATAAATGTGAACCGTGTTTTCGTCTTATTTTGAGCGCGTGCATGATTTTTTATTTCCATAACATTAAATGTATACGCAAGACGTCACCTTGTTTTTATTGTTGGTTTCATATATTATAAATTATATGTTGCCCCTAAAAAAAATAAGCGCAGTCTTATCATTGAGCATGCTGTCTTCTTATTTCTTGTTCTATGATAATAATAACAATAATATATTATGATGTGTATTATAAGAGAACGCCACACCCGCATGTGTTGTCTCAGGCTTACACATTCATTTTAATTAGCTGGCCGTATCATTTAAAGTTCAAACCGTTTTTGTTTAGTAAAATAAGTAAATAAAAGTTATTGTTTGATATTATGTTGTTTATTTTTTAACTGAGCAATCTTGACATTTCCTATATTTATCCTTTTTTCTCATAGTTTATGAAAACTAAAATACTCATTTTTATTTTATTTTTAAATAATTTACTACGACTAACACATTGGTTCGATTCATAACAAATTGCAAAAAAATTGTGTTGTTCTACTCGAGCACCAATTTCCACTGCAGTCGTCCGATTGCGTCATCCGGTTTCCAAGTAGGTCCCACTCCACTGAGAGTGAAGACCGCACATGTCTCCCCTTGGGTAGTATCATGTTTATAGTGATATGAACATAAATAAATAGATCACGTCATGATCTCCCTACTACCCACTTGTGATAAGCATTGACAAAGATCTTGAGGCAGTATTAATGAACAAATACCGTGTACACATAAATTTTCAGAATAATATTGTGGTTTATACAGAGTACATAATTCTGCCCACCCTGTCATCGCTATAGAAACATTGCCTAGGTACACACTGTACAACCAGTTTTTCCATAAATCATTATCTCCTATGTTTAGTAATGTTCAGTTTAAAATATTAAAACAATCATTATATAGTCTAACAAAGAGTATATATTTTTATGAAGTACATTTATTTATTTATTTTTGAAATGTAGACTAATTTATATTTATGTTTTTATTTACAGATGGCTACAACCCCAAATGATAGACCTGTCTCACAGACTTTAGTAACTACTTTAAAATTTGATCCAAATATCAATCATATGTCAAACAGATATCGAATCATTTTGAATAATAATTCATATCCTATAACTCAATCTCTTTCTGATAATCCACTTCAGCCAATATGTAGATCAACGTTTTCTGAAGAAATACCTTCTTGGGATATGACGGTATACAAAAATCGCTTAAAAACATTTGCTGGAGTTTGGAAATTACGATTTATAACCCCTACCCAAATGGCCAAGGCTGGATTATATTATATTGGCATACAAGATCGTGTTAGATGTACGTTTTGTTATTCAGAATATGATTATTGGCAACATGGTGAAGATCCGTTTGTTGAACATAAAAAACGGTCTCCACATTGTGCATTTTTTAATGACTCTTCTGGTAATTATAAAATACCTAAATTTAATGCTTTTGTAATCTGATATGAAATTTAAGTTAATTTTAAGATAAATATTTTGTGTGTTTAATAATATAACCTTAACTGAACAACAATCATATAAAAGACAGAACTACTCAATTCATTGAATTATAATTTCTAGTAAATTGCAAAAATTTGCAATGTTGTTGTAAGCTTGAATGCTAGATATTAGAATATTAGGATCAACTCTTAATACTTTTATTTTATAATAAAATTTAAGGCACCTACTTAAACATGTTGCCTAATGCTTATATTAGTTTTACTCTATAATGCTTTATTCATAAAAAATAAGAAATAAATAATTATTTAATGTTAACCTTGTTAAAATCGGAGTATTTTTTATGATTTAAGTGTGATTGGACATTAGCTAACAAATCTTTCTTAAATAATTATCAGTTAATGAAACAAATAAGATCAATTCTATCTGAATGTTGCTTCTTATTTCACATTAAA